TTTAGAACTATTCATTATATTTGAAAATTAAGTACTGATATATTTAAAATATTTTTTTTTTAAATAATATATTACATTTATAAAAGTATAGTTTAGACAAATTTAATTATATATAATTTAAACTTTTTCAACTAATTAATATATTGTTTTAAAATGCAAATTTGTATTTATAATTGATATCTATAGTAAGATTAATACTCTTATGAATCTGTGTGTTCTTAAAGGAATTTAGGAATTATCAATTTAATTTATAAATAAGTTTACATTTTTAATAGCTTTAATTATTAGAAAAAAATTCATTTTCAGTGCTTTAAATATTTTTTATAATGTATTACATTATACAAAAAATTATAAATAAAATTTATCTATCGCTTTATAGAGAATTAATGCACTTGATGTAGTTAAAATTTAAAAGATTTATTAATTTTTTTATTATACTAATTTTTCAGTTTCAAATAACTATTAAAAATATATATAACAAAAATAGTGGAAAACTTTACCGAAACCGTACTATCAATTGAAATTTAGTTGGACATTTGTAAAACACTTAGTAATTAAAGAAGGTGTACGAAAATAGAAAAATATAAATCATGAATAGCGGGGGTAGAAAACTGGAAAAGATGAAAATACATTACCCTACTGCGTTTCTTAGCTTCAAAAAATTTACGTTCACAACCGTCAGCATAATTTCGGCAAAAACAGGCGTCGAAACTTTTACTCCAGTAATTAAGTCCCGACGCTTGCGGTGATCGCATACTTGAAAATTGAAACTTCACATGTCAGCAGCCTTGACAGACATTGAACGACCGTTTTATCTCATTCTCACACGACACTAACAACTAATAATGCGCTTCGTAACTGCAGACGTCCTTCACTGTTACAATCAAATAATAGAAATGACTGGGAACGTTATGAAAATCAGCGAAAAATAAAAATAGTTTTAAGATGGAACGTAATTCCGACGAACATTGGAATCAGTTCGCTTACAAAACTGTATTGTTTCAATTACATATTACCAATACTAAACTCGTTTGTAAAATTAAGATATAACTATTGATTGAATAATTAAGACAAATTTGATTTTTAATCTTATAAAATATTTAATCTAGTGCTTTCTAACTTTACTTGGATAATATTTATTAAATTTTAAGAAATCCACTAAAATTTAAATGTATATATAATATCATAGTTGGTGTAGTTTGCAGAAAATCGAATATTACTAGAAAGAATAAAGTGAATCAAATTATGTACAAACAATTTTATCACACTGTTCGAGAATGCGAGAACGTTTTCTTGCCACGACTTCCCACTGTCGCTGGAGATTCGAGATTGTCAATACATCTGGAAAACTCCAGTGAATATTTAGCTTATTTATTCTAGCTTATTTAAAAACGTGCTCATGCTTTTCCTGTGCAGTAAAAACTAATACGTTGTTTACTGTTAAGAAGGCGTAGATTCTGAAAGAGTATCGTAAACTATCAAGTACAAACATTTCCTAAATTTCGCTGCAACCCAAAACCCCGCACGTGCGACAACAAGCAATAGGCGTATGTGCGCATACGGCTTTTTAAGACAATGCTTGCTTTGTTCTTAACTACGCCAAATCTTGTCGGTCGTCCCTAGCCAACCGACTACGCCCTAGAGGACCCTTCATATAGCCAAGTCCCAGGAAAGGGAGAGGCGACCAAGAAGAGGTGACCAATAGTAAGGGCTCCCCACTTCTGACACTTTCCCGATTAGCACATTCGGGGCTGAGCCCGGAAGGAAGTGGAGATGAAGGCGTGCATAATCCTTTCTGCTGCCCAAGGTCAACCTCTGATTGGATAATTAAAAGAAGAAGGGATCCCAAGTGGAACTGGGTCAGTGAACTATTTAAGAAGGACAATGTAATGTACCACCACTTATTCTTTTCTAACACTTCACGCACAATTGAAGGATAAGTCACGACTTACTCTCACGGAGGAGGACCGGAGATTCAAGTCGTTTAGCCGAGTTTTAATAAGTTCTTTATACGATGGTGAATTAGTATATACAGTTGAATTGATCTCATCAAGGCTAGATTGCATAGGACCTGACCACTTGTAATCTCATTTGGAGATAAGGAAAGAACTTAAGAGTTGCAATATTCCAAGGGAACTTGACAAAAAGCCAACGAAGAGAGACTAGAAAAATCACTATACACTGTAAGTAAGTCCTTACAGCTAGTACTGATTCTTGATTTCTCGGCTTACGTAGAAAACGGACGGATTAAGGTCCAACTACCAGGCATACTCTAGGACAAGACCAGCTACAGACGCCACAGTGGCTTTTCAATCCCTCCAACGATAAGTTGTTCCCGCCACAGGTGGCGCACAGCTTCGCATAACCTCTATTTAGGCTCTTATACGATCCATATTTAGAGGCAACTGCACACCTGTTGAGATGAAACACAATAATATTGTAATGTTCCATCAGAGCACTACAATAACCATAACCTCTTAGTGATAATATTCAATAGATTATAACTTACTTCTTGTTACAGTAAATCATAATCTCACCAGTGACATGCAGAGAATAAGAAAGAAATTGATTATCCTCTAGTTCTACTACAAACAGATGTATCAACACCACAAGATTATTAAGAAATATAAAGATCGTTTGTAAGTTAACCAAGGTTAATAATTCTCATTGGAAATAAAGTAACATAAATGAATCAAACAGCAATAATAAAGATATGTGTTAATTATTAGATCGATGCATTAACCCTTTACTTGCCCGGCAACTCCACACATCTAGTAGGTTTTTTGTTCTAAGTTGATTTTTGCACGTTTGGCTGACGAGTCAGATTGTGGAATTATTTTTTGAACACACACTATTTTATATAAAATCATTTATAAATTATAGTGATTGTAAGTATATCATCTTCGATTTAAAATAATTGTAAAATAAATATTATCATAAAATATCTCTAATGAAATTTATAATTTTATGTGTAAAAAATAGGTCTAAAGAATTATTTTTAAATTTATTCCATTTTTATGATAGATTTTAAGCATTCAAATTTATCAGATAAAAAATAAAAGCTTTCATATAACAAAAATTCATATAACATTTATTATATATAAAAATATAAGGTTTATAAATCATAAGATAAAATTAGTGACTAAAAATTGTATCATTTTTGTAACACTATTTGCAGTCTATCAATACACAAGTCAATAAAAAAGAAAAGGTAGAAATTACGAAAGGTACTTGGAGGTAGAAACAAATGAGAACATTAAAATTAACAAAAAATTTGAGTACTTACAATTTCTGTCTTCTAATGTACAGTAACAGAGTTTCATGTCCGGATAATGAAAGTACCTAGTAACTGATGCTGCTCGAAGCTCCGATTTGGATTGTCTCAATAGTCCACTGTTATAGTGGCTGATTATACACTCTGAACTTTACGTTTTCAAATTGAAATCCCACTAGACCTTAGTAAGGTTTAGCATTCAATTCCCATTATATATCTGCGCTATTTATTAGAACGTTGATGATATATATCAAGCATAGTACCAATAAATCAGCTATAGCTAGAAAAAAATTATCGATGTAAATTTTTGATATTGTGTGAATTATAAAGGCATTAAGGTTAGAAAACACAATATAAAATACAGATTGAATTTCAATAAAGATTATTTATAAAAACATAGATTTGAAATTATTTGAATATACATGAACGAACAGAGGGTTTCCAAAAAATTTTAATAGTTGATACATAAATTTCAAAAATAAAGTACATGTCTGTTATTTTGAAACAGAAAAAAATTTGAAATTTGATATTTGCATAAATATTTTACGTATTAATATCTATAAAAATTATGTAAGGTCTGTAAGTTATAATTTGAATAACATTTGTCTTTTAAATATATGAAAACATTTTTTAATACGACAAATACGATGAACTTTTATATGTGTAATTTTTAAGTAGTATATATATGTATATATATTCGATAATTTTTTTGTATATATATATATATATATATATATAATATTATGTGTAATTAATTTCGAAATAATTCACCATTTTTGCTAGGAATTTTATAATGTTATTTTATTAGTTTTAAATTATAACATTTAATTTAATTACGTAAAAATATGTAATTTGTCAGAATAAAAAAAAAACTATATTTAATATGTAATCAAATACAGATTATAAAAATTTATCTTATTCGCCCAAAAGTTAAATTTTATTTAAGCTTTGTCAAATATGCAAAGAAATATGAATCCGCTTACATTACAATACGTCACAATCCGCAATTACTTCTACTATTCTACTTCTACTAATTACTTCTACTATTTTGATTTAGCTCCATATGCAGAGATGCGATTCACATTTGATCAATGATATAATAAGATGTGAAATAGTGAATGTTGAATTAAATATGTTCGTTTAATTCGATATATAATCAATCAGAATCTACTTGCCTTTTCAATAATAGTTAATGTACAGTACAAATTATAAATTCAACTTATTTTGTACTCTTACATTATGAATAATATGAAAAATAATTAGTTTTATTAATAATAATTTCAATATTTCAATAAATTTAAATCATGTATTATAAGTTTTATTGGACTATTATAAATTTTAAATATAATTACTCCGTTACAAATTCGATATAATTTTAGTTATAACGAATAATTATTAAATATGTTATATTATAATAAGATGATGTAAAACTACATCATATTATCAAATATTATAAACAATAATGATATTATAAATAACATGTAACTGTTCTATATTAAAAATCTGTTAAAGGATATTTATATGATCATCTCATATGATTTTATATGTACGTATATATATAAACCTAGTATGGATATATGTATGCATATACGTGCATATGAATACACACATCTCATTTTAAGAAAGTGCAAATCAAATAATCAACATGCATGCTATAGGTTATATAATAATACATTATGATAAATATAAAACAGTTAAAGTTTGAAAATTTGTTTTAACAGATTGGAAGTGATTATAAAGCCGTAGAAAGTTCATCATTACAAGCAGAAAATAAGATGAGGTAAGAGATTCATATATTTAGAAACCAATATTACCCATTTCATAGTAAGTAAATACATAAATATATTTCTTGTTTATAATATAATATTAATATCTAATTAGAATTAATATAACGATACCTTTCAATATAATATTTTTTTATAATTGTTGATTATAATAGAAACGAAAAAAATACAACAGAAATTCTACTATTGAAGTCTTGCATTTGTAATAAAAAAATTAATATTTTCGATACACTTTTTAATACGAATATTGTTATTAAGTTATTATAATTAATAAAATTATAAGAGTATGGGAATGTTGAGTATACTATATGTAGTTATGTTTTTGTACATTATGCAAACATATGTATATAAAAATTTGTACTATATGTACTATATATATTGTAAATATTACATTTAATATGTATCAATTTATTAGGTAGTATAATAGCTTTCAAATTATGTTCAATCTGTACTCAATTCACAGTCAAGTTTTTATTTCTATCATCGATTGGGATGGAGATATACAAATATTAAATTAACTTTTTTTAAAAGCAAAAAGAAATCCATTTTTATACCATAGAAAAAACTCGCAATGTAATGCATATTAGTTGCTTATCGACTTTAATCTCTGGTCGAACGATCGCTTTAAATGCAGAAGCTTCTTAATCGCTTCGATGTGCCCATTTTAAAAGCACTTATAGCTGTAAATAGTTCAATGGTAAAGCAGCGAAAGGACATAGATATAGACATGACGCATTTCTTAAAATGATGCATGGCTTTAAAAAATCTCATGTCATAGTGTCAAAACTTATGAAAATTTTCCATTATTTAAAATGATAAAGAAGCCTAAGAAAATCGTTATCATTATTGAAGATTAGGCCACAAATTTACTAAAGTACTTCGAAACTTTTATAAATAATGAAAGTTCCGAATATTTATTAATATACTGAAATCAAATATTTACAATCAAAATAATATAACAATACTTAAACTCCAATGACTTCAATTTTTTGTTACCAATCGTTATTATCCATCATTATCATCGATTATCACGTCATTCATACAGTATATATATAAAAAATATTTTGGTTGTTTCAAAAATATACGTTTATGTATATTTAATGGTGTATGTATTAATAAAATTAATAAATCTATTAATTTATAAACATACGAATTTAGAAGCCATGTGCAATAGTATTTAATTTATAAAATATCCTTATAAGAAGTTACATTGAAGCAGATACATTTATCCAATAATGTAAATTATTCTCATATACCAAAAAAATTCGAAAAATTTTCAAAATAATCATTAATACTTGCTGTAAATGAAATAAACTAGGTAAGAAAATAAAATTTTTTTATATAATTTCTTCTACATTCTTTCTTAAAGAAACTTCTTAATTTTAAAGAAAATTCACACAGAAAATAAGTGGACTTCCAAATTTTTCTGAGTTATGAAGAGTAAAATTAATCAATGAAATATGGAAACTTTAGACTAATTTAATTATATTTTCGTTAAATCTTTTTCAATTTTATTTTATTTTCTATACCTACATTAAAATAATTAAGAAAAGAAATTTAAACTTCAGTGACATAACTGCTCTTCTTAACTTAAAAGAATTCGTAATAAGATCAATTTTTAATACTAATTATAACATTAATAATAAAGTAATTTTGAGACACTCCGAAAATAATTCATAGAATAAATATTACATTTAACTCTATTTAATTTACTTAAAAGTTTATCATCAGATTTCTATGCATCAAACATTTATTTTTTATTGTTCTGTAATAATTGTCAACTCTTCAAGCTATAAAAAATATTAAAAAATATTTAATAATAAAAATTTTAATACCTATACTTTATTTACCTTAGGGAATCTTAAAGATATTATGTATTTCATTGAAAAATAAATAATAAATAAAATAAAAGTAACACAAAATAATTATTCAAAATATTCAAAATCTACAGGTGTTTCACTCGTTGCTAAGACTACTGCACAGCAGCTCTTTTCTCATTTCATATTTTAGATTCGAAAAGCATACGCGTACAGAGTTGCATCCTTATGCATCCCTGACTTTTTCATTCTCGTGTAAAAACGCTTCTATTGCTGACATCCATTTTCGAAACGCTAAGATACCTCGGTAATCTCTATTTTCCCATGCACTTCCTAGCCTGAACCGACTATCCTCTCGCCTTGTTGTCGTTCAAACTTTTTCAATTTAGTGTCAGATCTTCAATAGTACTAGCACCGAAGTACTTTTCGATTCAAAATTACGAAGTTCTTGATATGTGAGATATTGGCGTGATTCTTCAATGCACGACGTAAAATGATATTATGGAGATTACGATGAGGAATATGATTTTATGATTTTTTATTGAATTTTTAAAAAATTATTTGTAAAAAATTATTTATAAAATTTCAATACATATACTATATTATATACTCTTGATATACGAATTTTATTATTTTATTTTTTTCTTTTGTTTTAACGTTTTTTGGTACATAAATTATTTTATTCAAGCTTATTAATTTTTTTTACTTTGAAGAAAAATTAAAAGCACAATTTAGTAATTATAATTTTCACTATAGAAAATTATAAAAGTTATTATTTGAAATCGACAGCAATCGAAATTGTAAAAATTATATGTGTTAAAAAGGTTCTAAATGTATGAAATTAATGATTAATATATTATAATTTAATCAGCTATATATAAATTGTATATGAAAAACTGAGAAAGAAATGTAAATAAGAATTGAAGAAATATGAATATGAAGGGGAAAAATTAATTAATTAAAATTTATTTGCCAAATAAATACTATTGATACATAATATTTATAGATTATTAACGCTATATTATTTTAATTTCTTTAAATTATTTTACCAGAAAATTTAATAGAAAAATCTAATTAATACATGAACTTTCTGAATTTCAGACTAAATCATAATTTTAGTAAATGAATATTATATATAACATAATAAGCTGCAAAAATTCGTATAAACGATAAAATTAAAAAATAATCTTTGAATTTATTATATTTAATACGTATCAAACCTTGCATAGACATTTTATAAAATAAAATAAAAAATCCATTAAAGTTAATTTATCGTATGAATGTATACATATAATGGTTTAAACTGCAATTTAAAAAAATATTTAATCTTAATGCACGATATATTTTACATTATTTAAACTGCATCTAGATTATTTAATAAAATAGAAACAGTATAAATTGAAGATTATATAATCACAAATTTTACTAATATTATTTTAAAATTTGTTTAATAAATATTATATATTCAGAATTTTTAACCTATTTAGATAAATCCTATTAAAGAAATACCAAATGAAATTTATCAGTAGTAATTAGTTATAAATTTTTGTGATCTTTTAAAATTCAAAATTGAAATAAACAAAGTTCACATTTAATTATTTATTATAACTCAATTTTGTTTAAAAATTATTTTGTTGTATTAATTATACTTCTTTAATTAAAATGCGATATGTTCCAGAACAATATTAAAATTTTTCTATTAGTAATCTAATTAATTTCAACAATTCCGTAAACTGACTTATTCATGTTTAATGAATTGTTGTATTTAAGTAGTAAAGTTATGTGGTCAAGTTAAATGTATCACGATCTAGTATAAATCTAATATAAAATAGTGATTAATAGAAGAAACATGAAAGCTTCGAGTTATTCGCCTGTCAACTGTATTATTAATCACGGTTTTTGCCCTGCTTCTTGGTAAACTACCTAGTTTTTTTTATGCATATAAAAAAAAAATCATAGAAAAAAAATAGAAGAAAGAACAGTGTTGAAGATAAAATATTGTATCATTTTCATTCATTTTCTACATCACTTTATATTATTTAATATTTAAACTCTAAAACAATTTAGAAATATTCCAAACGTTTATAATTAACACAGTCGAACATTTTTTACGGATACACTAATATAATAGTAAACATTTTTCATAATAGATTATATTAAATAAAAATTAATTAAAAAAAATAATTTATCAATTTAGAATGCTTAAAATTAAAATTAATCGATGATCAATTAATATGTATACTAAGGTTTTTTTTTAAATTAATTACATTACTACTCAGTTTAAGTTACTTATTAAATTTTTTTCATTTATTATATTTATTGTATTAATATATATATACTCACATATTATAACAATACATAATATTTGAATTGATGATACAAAATTTTACTTAAGAGACGATGTCGCTTTACTACTTAATAATATGAATATAGCTTTATTAAAAAATTTAAATATATATAATAATTTAAAATATATATCGATTAAAGTCAAATTTTGTAAATATAAACTTATCATACAATGGTAATAAACGTGTATTTTATTTAAACAATTTAAAGTCTTCCTTTAAATCATTTACTAATTACCATGTTTATAAGAATCAAGAATTTTAATACTTTAATTAATAATTTTAATACTTCTTGGTACTTACTACAATTTGCTTAAAAAGTATCTAGGGATTGAAAAACAAAAAGGACAAAATGTAAACAAATTTCACGATCGTGCAATGATTTAATTACCTTATTCTGCTTGTCGGAAATAATAACTATTGTACTCATCTGTATAGATGTTGTATAGAAGTCATCGAGATATTAAATTAAGTAATAACTGTCATTCAATGACTTATTGAAAAGTTAAAGTGATGCCGTCCACTTTCATTATTAGCTTTTTACTTATCCCGTTAGCGAGAACCTCGCTTCAATTAAATTTTATAGTTTTGCGTGTACGTCATGATTATGGAATATTGATGGTGTACCGATTGAATGTGTGTCAAATTTCGACTTGAACGCTAAATTGTTATTTGCATTACCATCAACAAAAGAGACTTTTATAGTTGAGTCAAATTCGATTTCACATGAACACGTATGCTTTACCATTCTGTTGGCGACGCATATTATTAATCACATTAATAATTGTAAATCTTATACAATACATATATATTTATTTATTATAAACGTTTCAT